GCATTGCAATATGCATCTGAGGGGATGAAGAACAATCTGCAAGTTGTCACTGCTGCAGTGAAGCAAGATGGCTATGCATTTCAATATGCACCATCACAACTCAAGGGAGAGTTGTCAATTTGCTTGGCTGCACTGAAAAGCCCTAAGAGATATTGCTGCTTTCCAAAATTAGTACGCTGTCCTCGATCTTCTTGGCAGTACAACAAGAACTGTCCCAACCCTCTGTTGCAACAATTTTCTCAACAATTTTTTATTGCTGCTGCAAGCCAACACAACTTTGCAATTACAAGAAAGGGTTTCAGAGCCAAAATTTTCACCGAAGGAGACAGCAAGAACAAGAAGAAGAAGAAAAAAAAAAGAAGAAGAGGAACAATCACCAACTGGACAGGAGTAGTACTACTACTAGTACTAGGAGGATCAAGAAGAACAAGAAGAAGCTTCTTTGTTAACAGTGAAACTTTTGTCCATGCACTACTAGTACTACTACTACACAGCCAAAAACTAAATGGAATGATTCTCCAAAACTACTACTACTAGTACTAATAGTAGTGCATAGCAAATATCTGTCTCTACTACGAAGTAATTCAAGATTCCTCAACTTGGTGTACGCAGCTGTAGTACTAGTTGTACGACGTCTTTACTCCACTCAATAGTCGTACCGTGCGGATGTGAGCAGCAATCGACCAATGAGAATGTTCTGAACCGAAGAAACAATTCGATGAGTAGAACCGTGAATGAATCGTCGCTGCGCGCCGGCAAGGTTACTGTACGGACTGTTCAGGAGTTTTCCGCATCCGGCTTCGTTCGCAAAACTCCGAATACGAGGAAGAGAAGCAGCGTACGCACGGGGGAAGGGCTCGAGACGGTGTTGACGTCGATCTCGATGGGAACAGAAAACTCTGTACGGYATTGTAGGGTGCGCTACCAAGTACTAAGAGTACTCGTACTTCACGAAGCAACGTAGAACAATCCATGACTAAACTTGACAACTGTGAAATGCTCCTCGCTGCTTGTTGTCATACCATACGCACGGTTCAACCTCTGTCAAGACCGGTGTTGCAATCTGGAGTCCCGGTATCAGCATCACCTCACAAACGAATACCAAAAGAGATATAGTATTGGTTCGATTTATTCCTTCCTTTGCTTTCCTTCTTGTTCAATTTTCTTTGGGCAAAAACTTACCGTAAGCGTTGTCACCATCGGTGTTGATACAACAACGACACGGCAYCRAGCAATCGTACCRCGAACAGCATACTCGATCGCGGAAGCTGGCCTGTTGGAGTGGTCGTCGGCAAGTCGATTCTGAAGCAGCGGTCCAACACGAGTGCTTTTGCTCGTGCCCGTGCTCGTGCTCGTGCTCATACCTCGGCGACCAACTAGCGAGCAAGCCGCGATTTCCCTTCCGAGAGCAACACAAAAACCTTTCGTCTTCCAGCAGAGCTACGCCCGCCTTCGAAAGCAACGGCAACAAACAAACGCAATGGCCACGATCGTCAGGGACATCCCTCCCGTGCCACCCGAGGAAGAAACGCCCGGGTTCGACGGAGAAAGCACCATCGTCTTCTCCCCTTCGACGGCGGCGACGACGACGCATTCCGCGGCGCCGGAAGCCGACGACGAGGCCCTGGCCCGGAGGCTGCAGGCCGAGTGGAACGCCAGCGACCACCCGGCGGCAGCGGCTCCGGCAGATCCCCACGGGGCACCCCCGCCGCTTCCACCGGCGCCCCACACGCCGCAGCCGGCCCCCCGGGTCGCCACCGTGTCGAATCCCTGGGAGTTCGACGCCCAGCAGGCCTCGTGCACCTCCTGCGGGGAGGGCTTCCACGCCTTCAACCGGCGGCACCACTGCCGGCTGTGCGGGAAGATTTTCTGCAACAGCTGCAGCGACCAGCGCGCCCTGGTCCCGCCCTCGGCGATCGTCCTGACCCCGAGCAAGGGGGGCAAGAAGGCCAAGCCGCCGAACGCGGAGGACCCCCGCAACCGGACCGGGGGCGGGGCGACGTTCACGCCGGATCCCGATCCCGACCGCATGCTGACCTACATCGACGAGGACAAGCAGCTCCTCTACGGGAAGGGGCTCGAGGAACGGTGAGTTGCTTTGGTTTTTTTTTCAGGTTTGTGTGTGTWTTTTTTTTTGGGGGGGAAAGGCGTGCTCAGTATGTGCTGGGTTTGGTTCTTGGGGTGTGTCGGTATCGTGCTCTCGACCTTGCAGCCAGGACAAAACGAAACGACGTTCCAACCGTGCATGTTTTGGGTGGTGTAAATCATTTGTTTGATCGGGGAATTTAATGTTGTGCTTTTAGCACGGTGACTTTTTTCTTTTGAAACTATGACTTCATCGGTCTCGGTAACGCAAAGGGGGCCGGGGATTTCGGATTTTGGCCACGCGACAAAAAAAGGAACGACAATTTCATCCCACCTCATCCCATCCCATTCTTTTGTTGTCTTTTATTTTATTTTCTATTCTATTCATTGGTGGCTTTTTCCGAAACGCAACGCGAAACAGATTCCAGCTGGCTCGGGAACCCCTCCGGGTGTGCACGGGATGCCACCAACAGCTCCAGCCAGTCCAGGAAGAACTGCGCACGACCAACAGCAACGCAATGCGCTTCAATCACATCGATCCGACGGATCCCAAACGCTTTCTGAATTCCCCACTGGCGTTTACGCTGGGACACGAGGTGCGAAAGGCGGCATACACCCTCAACAACATGCTGCCGATGCCCAAACGAATGGGATCGACCATCGGGGGATTCGGTGAGTCCCCTCGGTACACCAGCAATGGCCACGGCGACCACAAATTTGACGAGTTCCTGACGGGCGAAGACCTCGACCTCCAGCAGTGCAAGGACGAGTGCGCCACCATTACCCCCAACTTTTCGAACCTCGACGGTGTCCGCATCCCGGCCCGGCTGTTGGAGGAAGCCAAGGGCGTCGCCGTCCTGACGGTTGCCAAGGGTGGATTCGGACTCGCGGGAGCCGAGTTCGGAACCGGACTGGTGGTGGCCCGCCTCGGGGACAACCAGGAGTGGAGCGCCCCGTGTGCGATCGGGACGGCGGGCCTCAGCTGGGGGGCACTCATCGGAGCGCAGGTCTCGGACCACGTCTTTTTGTTGATGACGGATGCCGCGGTCGAATTGATGTTCCACAACGACGGGAACCTGCAGCTAGGTGCGGACGTGGGTGTGGCGCTGGGTCCGGTAGGAAGAGCACTGGAAGCGGATTTTGCGGCCTCCCCGGGGGCCTTTGCCCCCATCTACACATACTCCCTTAGCAAGGGGATGTACGCCGGGATCTCGCTCGACGGGAAGATGATCGTGACGCGGAACCGGGTCAACGAAAAATTTTACGGGCGCGAGATCACGGGCCARCAGATCCTGAACGGAGAGATCCCGTCGCCCCCCGCGGCCCGGCCTCTCTACGACGCCCTCGCGCGGTGCCACGTCTATGCGAAAAACGATGCGGGGGGCGGCGGCAGCGGGGCGGGCGGCCTCCTCCATCGACCCAAGACCCGCGTCATGCACGGATATCCGGAGGTCCTCCCTCCGCACATGGATCCCTATTCCCAGGGCTTTGGCAACGCTCACGCGAACACGAACACAAATGCCGGGGGTGCCGGCGCGGTGGGGCGATTCCACCKGCAGCCGTCGCCGCCTCTCGATTACGGCGATCCCCTGATGCCGCCGGCGCCGAACGACCAGCATTCGTTCACCGGGCAATCCCACATGAGCGACATCACCTCGGATCCGGGGTACTGAGCAGGAACGGAGTGGTGCAGTGGAACAGTAGAATCTACCGTCAATCTTTACCGGCGTGAACACTCAATTTCTGTTCCGAAGCTGGTTGAGTTCAGGCCGATGCGTTCCGTGTGAACACGTATCCGCGTTGATCTTTCGCTTTTTTCGCAAGCCGTGAAGACTGTATGTTCTCGTCATTCTTTTTGTGGTGACGTCAATGTTGTATTTCTACGCATTGGGACTTTCTTATTCCTCAAGACCCGTCTATTGATAYAATAGTATATATTTGTTTGAATAGAAAAGTGATTTTCCAATTATCATTCTAAAATACAGACAGTTCACAACCGTAGTGTGCGAAAGGCTCGATATCCGATTTTTAATTTTGTTCGATATTCTGAAGGTTGCATTTTCCATGAATGCAGTAGCTTTTTTTTTCACCATMAACCTATTGCGCTGCGTGGTTGTAATTCGATGCGCTGCACACAAAAATGCACCATGCGAGAGAGGCAACACGAGATCTGTTTTGATATGCTGTTTTTGCTCTTTCTCTTGATCCGGTTGCGGTTAGTGAAGTCTCCCGTTTCATTTTTTCAGCTCATTCCAGTAGGCATTCGTGCAGACGTAGCTGAAGCTTCTGCGTAGAAGGGATGCAGCCGCCGTGATCGCTTGCTCCGCCATCGAATCATTGGGGTGGTATTTTCTACAGGTGTTACGTAGCATATATCGCGTCGATGAATTCAATAGCGATCAACAAGGCCGTTTTCACGGCTCTGGTTGGTTTGTTCCAGATCCGTGCCTTTCCATCCCACAATGCTTTGGATGTCTTTGAGTTGGAACGTTGCGGACAGACCGTGCAGATTGCCGCGACAGCTGTGTCCACCAATGCTCGGGAACAAAGATTTGACCTTCTAGTTCGGCTATGTGCGAACGTTGTTGGCCCGCGAGCCTGCAAGCCAGCCACCGGATGTCCATATCGGCAACGGTCCGCCGCGATGTGATTCCTTCTGACCTTACACAATCGGAGTTAGGTTGGGATTGCAACCCGGTTCCACTGCGGAAGAAAAGGAAGCCACAGACGAGTTCCTTCGTTCCCGCAGAGTAACGCTTGCCTTGTCGACGGATTCCATGTTTGCGTATTCAAAGCTATCGTTTGACGGACCGAGCGCCTTGGAGTCCTCGCCATCCATAAAACGGTCCAACCCAAGCGATTTGAGAATTTCAGCCGTATCGCACGTGTCTTCGGTCTTGAGCTTGATCTGGATTTCCTCAAGCGTCATACCCTTGGTTTCAGGGACCTTGAACAGGACAAATGCTAGTCCCGAGAAAATAGTCAAGGCAAAGACAATAAAGGTGGTCCCCCATCCCAGAGCATCCTGGATAACGGGGAAGAACAACTGCGTCAAAAACTTGGCAAAAAAATTGACTTCGACGCTTAGCGCCATGGCAATCCCGCGTATTTCCGTCGGATAGATCTCACTCAGCACGGTCCATGAAATGGGCCCGAATCCGATCTGGTAGCCAGAAATAAAGATGAACATGCTCCACAACACAAGTTGTTTCTTGAAGTCGCTGAGCTTGTCGTTGGAGTTGTCGTCCCACCCCCAGAATCCAAAAGCGAGGAGGCTCACGGCGAGGAGCATGGTAGCGCTCCCGGCCGCAAGGAGCTTCTTCCGTCCTAACCGATCGACCTGCGTCACCGTAAAGGACGAAACAATTCCCATGATAGTAACCGTGACCACACTGGTGTTCCCACCCCAACCAGCGGCCTCGAAGAGGACCCGCGAGTAGGCTAAGACGCAGGGCTGCCCCGAGAATTGCTGGGCCAGAAGGAGCCCCATTCCGATGCTCATCACTCTTCGGTACTTCAAAGACCACATACTGTTTGGATCGTCGTCATCGTTGCCACCTTCGTCGTTCGGGTTGCCCTCGTCGCCACCCTGGCCGCCGTGTCGTTCCGCCGTTCCGACGCTTTTGTGGATGCTGTTCCCGCCCGTGACCGAGTCGTCGCAGTCGACATTGAGGTGGCTACTTGAGACGGTTCGCCCATGGTTACAGCACAAACTCTGGATAGTCTCGGCCATTTTTTCAAACTCGTCTTCCACGTTCCCCTTGTAGACAAACTGCATCGATTCCCGAGCTTCTTCGTGGTAGCCCTTCATGAGCAACCACCGCTTGCTTCGAGGAATCTTGAAGGTCAGCAGCAGCATAGGAACGGCGAAAAGTATCGAGTACCCGTATAAGTCTATTATCATTGTCGCAGAATACGTACAAAACACAGCAATGCAATTCGCGGTACAGCGTCGATTTGGAGAGATTGGAGCAGATTAGAGTGTGAATGCAAGTTCTTTACAGCAAATCTGTACAGCAAAACAATTCATTCCAGCACACACAAATAATACATTGCACAAGTAGCACACAAAAACAACCCGCAACCAAACGAATCCATCACCCATTCATCGCAATCGACTATAATCTAAACTAATACGCACCTGTCCAATTCGAGGGATAGTCCGACTGCAAATCTCCCATGAGCATCCCCACCACGATCCCAAAGACAATGACGGTTTCCTTGGCCGATACTAGGGCCCCCCGTACATTCGACGGGCTCATCTCCGCCATGTAGGTCGGTGCCCCGTGCATGATAAAGCCGACACCGGCTCCGTATARCAGCCTCCCGGCAATGAGCGAGGTGAAGCCCCAGCCAAAGCCGATCGAGGTGTATTCGTACGAGTAGTACTTGTCGCTCCCGTCCCCGTTCTTGGCGTACCACCTCGGAGGCCACTGAAAGACCCCCGTGGTAGCCAGGATCGTCCCAGACATGACATTGAGCATTGCCCCTACGATRTAGAGGGTAGCAGCGATCCGGATTTCCTTCCTCCGGCCCACGGTGTTCGCCAGGAAGGTCAGGACGATGTGGGACCCGATGAGCGCCCCAAGCGCCAGGCAGGAGACGTACAGCCCCTGCTGAACCTTGCTAAAGTTGTGCCACCAGTGATCGTGGTCCCGGTCGGCCCGCATCATGCTGAGGACGAAGGATGTCGCCCCGATGTCGTACCCGTAGAGAAATCCGCCCAGGGCGGGTGCCAAAAAGACCAGGGCAAGTCCTCCGTAGTCAATTTCCGGCTCGTGGTGGTGGATCGGGGAAGGTGTTACCATTCCGTACTCGCGACGCAATGCAACAACTTCGGTTTCGTCTTCACCCACATCTGCGTGTAAGCCCTCGCCCTCGTAGTATTGTGCAGCCGAAGTGGGGATCGCGCCCTCGTCATGGCTTGTCGCTCCGGCCGAAAAGGAACTCATACTCAGGCTCGCACTCGTGTTCGGAAGATCGTCATGGTTTCTGTGTTCGACTGCTATAGGCACTKTGCAGTCGTTCAGAGGTTCCGCGTGGTCCATTGTTCTGCTGTTTCTGATTCTAACTCCTGCTTTTGCTCTTGTTATCAAATCGAACTCAATCGATTAGAAGTATTCGGCTTCCGTGGTTCGAATCAAACCAACAAAGAGGCACACTCGGAGGTATGGAAGTCGACCGTTAAGTGGATTGTTGCTTTGCCTCTTCTGTCAAGAAAATCGCTGGGATTGCACTGTACTATGATGGAATGAGATGTGATGTGTTGCGTGGATATCGTCGCCTACCTCCGCTTCACGAAAAGCCGGCTAGTTATGTGACCGAATCGCGGGCTAGTAAGCAAGCTTCCTGGTTGTATAGCCTCGGATGTGTCCTGATCGATGTGTACCAGCAATTGGTGGCCCAATTTGGTGCTTTCCCGTCGTACCTACGGAATCTCTTTCTGGTGGATGGATTGTCCGTCTTCATTGGTGATGTACCGGTACGTACTCCTCTTGATTTTAAAGTCTTTCGATCAGTTGTTCTTTCCCTGACGAGAAACACCTAGTAGAGCTACTCCAACCTACCTGGTCGTCCTTGCGAACCATCAACCCGTGCCGTAGAAGCCGTAGAAGCCGTAGAAGCCGCAGATACTACTACGCGGGTTGTTCAAAAGAGGAATTTTGACAGCGCCCGTCGGGCCCAAAGCCAAACTCGCACGTGCCACAAGCCAACTATTGGAGGGAAAGCGCATGCCGTTGGAACGGAAACAAGGCGCGTCGCCAAATACGAAGGGAGACTGGGGAGTGACGTAATGTAGTCGAAGGAGTCGTAATTGTAGCTTTCCTTCCACGTACTACCGACGAGCGACGTACGTACATGTTATTACATGTAGCCGTGAGCTACGTCTATACGTACGTACCTACGGTACGGTACATGTCGCATGTACCATTACGTTTGTGTCATGTCACATACGACACACATCATTCCACCGGGAAACGAGAGAAAGGAACAAGAAGCTATCATGGTGTCCCGTATCACATCGACAGAGATAGCTTTCAAGACAAGTACGAAGTACCAATCATCAATCAACATCTTGTAGCGCACCAACCTATCTGCTCTCTTGGTTGAAGCTTCCTGTATAGCACGGTTCATTTCCGATTTCGTTTTCGTAATAACATCAACGTTAACCATGTTTGGAAGCAGCAGCAACAACGGTGCAGTGTTTCTTACCATTGCCACTGGATTCTTCGTCTGCACTTTTGCGCCCGTCGATGCCTTCGCACCGAACTCACTTCAGCATCCGCAAACAGCAACCCTTCTGTGGTCCTCGAYCACAAGTGGAACGGCTCCGGTGCTCAAGTCTCAATTGAAAAAACCCAGCAAGGTCCTTACCGTGGGGGTCGAATACAAGTCCGACAGCAGCGACGACAGCGACGACAACCTCGAGGTCTTTTCCATGAAACTCCGCCAGCAGGCTAAGGTGTCCTTTGTCGCCTGTGGGGACCTTGACGCGATCCGGCTGCTGGCCACCGAGCAGGAGACGGCGAAGGGGAACTTTCCGGGACCCCTCCCCATTGTGTACTACTGTAGCGGTGGCGAAGGGGAAGCTTCCGCTTCAGACGTTGCGGAGGCCGGTGCCTCAGCGCTGGTCGTCCTCGGTGCTGGTGAGGGAGCTAAAAATGYGKCAGAAGCAGCGGATGCCGCTGGACTGGAAACGATCTGGAGCGTTTCCTCCGCGGGGGAGGCCGAGGAGGTCCTTTCGCAGACGGAAGGCCGGGCAGACGTGTTCTGGTTGGAAGGCAGCGAGGGTGACACCAACGAGATTGTGAGCGTCCTCCCCAAATCGAGCATGGCAATTGGGGTTGTTTCCGACCCCATGCAGACCGATGGGGCCGAGATCGAGGAGGGAAAGTCCCTCAAGGCTTCGGGCTGCGCCTCGGTGGTCGTCAAGGAGGCCTGTATCGGCGACGCCGAGGACATCGAGTACGCGTCCTTCGTGGTGGGTGGCCTTACCAGCAAAGCGTCGTCCGAGTTCAAGTTTTCCGGCCTAACTGGGTCTACCAACGGCCATTTCGGGGGCATCCAATCGAACAGCTCGGTCCGATGGGAGAGGCAGAAGAGGAAGGAGGAAGCGGAGAACAGCGACGACGACGAGTAATAACGAAACAGAAACGCAATCGTTGCGAAAGAAGCAAACAGAAACTAATTCTGCAACATTTTTCTTCAGTGAACGATGTGGTGTCGGCAAGGAACAGCATACCTTCAAAAATCATAGCACCTTCTTCATATCGTTTTGACCTACAGTTTTGATACGAGTCGCAACAATAATACTTTTCGTCATCGTACYGTATATTACTCTCGGATGCGTTGCCGTAAAGCCAAAAATATCTAGAAGCGCCACAATACATGTATTCATGCCCTACATGGCTATCACTCGAAAAAAATTGTTCATCTTTCTTTCATGCATCTTTAAGTTATTCGACGAGTGACCGTCGAGTGATCATCGAGAGCATTGAGTTCACAACTCCGTTGTGATCGACTCGAACTCTATATGAATAGCCGAATGATATGCTGTTGGTGTAATCCTGGAATAGATTGTCTGTCTAGCAGCATTCTTTCTCCATCCATTTAACCAAACTACTATGGATTATATAATCCAAGTTCCAAATATCATTTTAGTTTCTTGCAAACTGGTCCAGGATCGTCGAATCCTGGTCCAATCGCTTCCGATCCCCTTCCAAGGGGGTTGTGTAACCCTCTAGGAAGTGCATAAGATGGTTCTTTTGTTTGTGCTGAAGCATGGACGTTTCCAAAGCGAAATACCCCGTCTCGATCAGCATTTCCTGGACACGGTGGTCCTTAACGTCCTTGTTGTCGTAGAATCGGTCACGAATAGTCGCCTTCGCCTTTTCGATAGGCATGTCGATATCGTAGATCATCAGAACGCGGGGAAGTTCCCTTCAATTTTAAAACGTGGTAAAGCACAGTGGCATCGAACAAAGCGAGATTTAAACGAATAAAAAGCGAACGTCAGAAAAATTTCGTCTTCGGCTTTTTTTGTTAAACACCGCAAATAAAAATACCGGCAAGGCGATGCCGATGCGAAGGCAAAGACATGATTATTGAATAACACAGAATGCGAGGAAAAATATTCACCATTATTTTGTAATCATATTCTGTCACTTTGGCTTCTATTTCCGCTCCCCCCTAATTCAATCGCCGACATCACACTTACTTCAATATCCGTTTGTACAATACGGCGGGGCTGTTAATGACGCCGAGGTTTCTAGCGTGTCTGGAGAGCTGCAATGAAGCCATGATGGACCAACTTGTATGATTTGTGTACGAACTGGATTGTTCTATTCACTACTGTATTGATGATGGATTGATGTTGGCACCGTACCGGTAGGGTTGGACTGATGGTTTCGATGGATGTTCCCTGCTCCCTGTCGTTGTTCGTTTTGTGCGGTACGAGTACTACTACTTGGTACTCGAAGCATGTAATACGTCGTCTCTTCCAGAAAGGTACGAGTACGTTACGGTACCGTAGGGGAATACGATGCAAAACAGTCCTTGCTTTTGTTGTGCTAGGGTAAACTTAGTACAGAAATAGTTTCATTTCAATATTTTCAATTTTCAATTTTCAATATCATGAAAAGTTGTCAGTGGTCGAGATGAATTTAGTGACATGACTGTCAGCATCTACTCTTTATGTGGTTGTTCAAATGAAAATAGAACTCTCCATTGGAAACAAGATGGTGCCTCACGTGTCACCGATAAGGGAACTGTAACGTAGTATCTTTTTGGGTTTGTCTGTTGTATTTCGGGAAAAGTTTTAACAATTTATCAAGACTCATTTTCTATCTAATTCGCTTATTCGTTAGGTTAGCATCAACATTCACTATTTCGTCTATGAGAGGATCTCTCTCATCTCATCCAGTCCTGGGAAAGCACACCATCTGGGGAGAGAGCACAAGATGGTTCAACAACGATTTCTTTCGACGCTGGAATCCAAGTCAGGTCGGACGACTTTCGCATCCAAGCCCTACAAGTGTTGTTCTCGGCCATTTCTACTTGGTTTCTTTGTTGCACAAATGTTTCTCCAATCGGAATAGCTGCCTCGGAGGAGAGACTGCCCACAAAGACATCTGCAACGTAATGAAAGACTGTGGGAGCAAAGCTTTTGACGCGTTCGACATGATTACAGAGGATCCACCAGTCATCTGGTCGATGTTCTTCTTGCACTAAAATCTCCAAGCGGTGGCAGAGCCAGAGGGTCCAAGATGCCATCTCCGAGGCGGGTACGTTAGCATGAACGTGCAACCAGCCACCAGAAGGTACCTTGAGTGCTCGGATGGCAGCTCTCCATCCACCCTCGCTGCTTGGGAGCAATCCGAGGCTGACCCGATCTACTAAACCAACAATTCCATGTGTTTTGACCGATTCTCGGCAGTCCCCTACGAAGATCTCAATCTTGTCCTCGATTTTGTTGTCCCGTACATTGAACCGTAGAGCCTCGACGGCATTCCTGTTCCACTCGCACGCGTAGACTTTCGACGCCTTGCCGTGGATGACGGCGGGTAGAGTGTAGTAGCCAATACCAGCGTACAAGTCCAAGACAATATCTCCTTCTCGAACCAAATGTTTTCCAAACCGTATTTTCTCAGAAATATTCCCCCGGCTAAACATGACTTTCGTCAAATCAAAAGATTGCTTTATTCCCTGCTCGGTGACTCTTATCCACGACCTGGATTGCAACCCATCCATCGTATTATTTTCATTGTTGCAACTATCGATTGATTTAGAGGGGCGGGGCCAGAGAATGCGATGGCCGCTTTCTCGAATTTGGCTGTTTGGATCGATACCACCCCTCCGCACAACGCGAGGGCTGTTGTGTGCCAAAGCAAGACGGCGCCAGAAATCGACGTAGAGGTTCACAATATCATCACTTTGACCGTTCTCTTGTCTGTTCGAATTCTCATTGTCATTTTCATCGCCGATACCGTTGCTACTTGGAGATTGTTTTGCCTTTCGCTGTTGCACTCGTAGTCGCTGAACATCACGGAGAATCGAACGAAACTCTTCCCCCTCGAACGCATCCGGTGGAACCACAACCGTACGGTCGTCACCAAAAACTTCTAGTAATGGACGACGTCGGCTTCCAGGGCAAACGGTCGAATCGAGTTGCAACACTCGATCGAAGATACTGTTGCTACTAATATTTCCGTTCTGATCACAATTCTCCGAGACGTCTTCTAAAATCACCGATCGAGAGAGGCATAGGCTCTCCATAATTCCAGTTGTACAAGAAACAGCCGTGCTGTTGATATTGCTATTCCTGAGTTTTTGGCGATTAGCTCGAGAATTTCCAAGCATTTTGGTACTATACGGGCATGTTTGATATCCAACTCCAACAAGAATAGAGGAGAAGTGTGATGCAGATCTCGAACCATCGGTGCATTCGCTATTGTCTTTATCATCACTAGCAGTCATACTACCAACGATTCCGTCAAAACAGTTTCCTTCCTCGCTGAATTCTCCGCATACAGGAATCGCAACCAGGGCAGAGATGGTATCGGTGGCCGGATCGAAATCAGCATCGCCATTCGCATTCATATTTTCTATCGCCGAAGCTGTCGCGGGGAGCATCCGAAATCTGTCGTCCAGAAAACCACCATCCTTTAGAATGCCTTTTGCTTGTCTTGCATCTTTTTTTCGAACGTACACCACCCTGGTGACCTCCTCCCCAACTGTCCTGTGCTGTTGCCCATACTGTATATTTTTTGGTTTCCCCATGGCAAAAGTGTATCTTCTCTTCTCCCGTTGAGGTAAAACACCGATCGCTACTTTTGAATTCTTGTGCTATCAGGCAGGTTTGTGTGTTGACTGATTATTCCAAGATATATTGTCTTCGTCCTTTACCGATGGAAGACGATGCATTCGATGACGTTGATTGCAACTTGTAAGTAGTACGGTACGAAAACAGATTTTAACATCGATTACTGTATTAATTTTTCAAAAGAAATTCATTTCTACCATAGAAAAATAAGGTTACAAAATTTCGGTCATCAATTTCGGTGGCTTTCAAGGGGTTGCTACGTGAATGATGAGTCACGAATCAATCCAGATGAAAAAATGACACCTCCATCTTGAATCTTGATTCTTGATGTGCCTAAGTACAAGGTACATACATATCATACGATAGGTATATACGCAGCAATCATGAACCACGTGCACTGTGGACTCTGCACCGCTAGTTTCCCAACGTGACTGACCATTGGGCAATACAAAGTTATCAGGCTTGAACAGAAATACTGTAACGACGTTGAAGAAATTTCTCTTCTTGTTGGCGATCGATGCTTCAAAGGGCAATTATGATAACTCGTCCGTTGCATATCGTACCGTATTGTTATTATCGAAAACACGAAAACCTCAAAGCGAGGTTTTTCTCCCTCAACGGTACGAATTAAAGATATTTAGATGGCATCTGCGGTTGAAAGGATCGGGAAAAAGGATGCCAATCAAAGCTTTTCCACGAAATTGATACGAAAGAAACCTTTCAAGACGGTCGTCATGCAGTGTGTGTATCAGGAAAAAGAGGGAAAAGGAGTCGTCGATGAGCTCTTTGTGTGTTGCTGTATTTGTGAGTAGTACGCAAGAATCGTTAGAAGTCGCTCTAACGGCTGAAAACTCACTCCGARCAATTCGTTCATTACTGCAACTATGAAATCCATATTCATTGTATTGTGTTGATTCGAATAGACAGCGACAGAATTTGAAACATTAMGAACAAATACTGCCCTGTCCTGATTGTTTGTTCTATCTGAACAACTGAACAAATACACGACCATGTCGATTTCGGCAGCACGTGAAGCTCGCCGAGAAAATTGGAATACCTATGACGAGTATGCCACTATAGATAGCATGCAACCCTCTGATGAATGGGAGGGTAGTSGTGCCGTGGAAGATTACTATCGGGTCAACAGCAGGAGCTCGATTGACTTCGACAAATACAGCGCACCCGATGACGAAGTTTCCTATCGAGAACCTCTCGATGGTGATTGCGACGATGTGGATCAGGAACAACCACATGGGCAGGAGGACGAAACAGGGTCCTACTTTGCAGCACCCACAAGGGAGTTTGTGGATTACATATCCCATCTTACCTCTTCCTTCAGCGTGGAAGGATCCAAATTGAGGCAATATGGTGCCTCGTACTATTCGAACGCAACATTCTCCAAGAAAGAAGACACAGAGGGAAAGAAGGAAATCAAATCCAAAAGGTCTGGGAGCAACCACAGTCGTTGCATTATAGAGAATACCGAGTCCATCCAAGATCGACGAGACGAATACAAGCAGCGTAGGGGCAGCAACGCAAAAGGTGACGATGACGATTGCCACCGAGATCAGCAGAGCACTATGAGCTGCTCCGTTGAGGAGATTAGCCAGATTTCGGAACTCACTATGGACATTCCTACCATTGCTACGGAACAGCCCCAGAAAACATTTGCACACTGTGCGCCTACACTGCCAACTATTTCGGAGGTCAAGCAATTCCAGTCCCCCGAAATCGCTGCAGCAACTTGTGTGGACGGTGTGAGAAACAGCAAGGCATGCTCACCAGGAAGCGACACGACCACCAACGAGAGCGAAGGAAACAACGACGTTATGGATTTTGTTTTTGGACTCGTGGAAGATGCAYTGTGTACTCCTATGAAAACAAGCAAGTCGGAACGAAAGAAGGTGTTCATGGAAGCATTTTACGAAGAATCCCAAAAGGTTGTGAAAATGGCCAAGAAGAGCGCTTCCAAAAAGGCCCTTCACGAGACTAGCAAGCACAGCAGAAGCAGTTTGAGCACGAATCACGCTGGCAATCAAAAGCCAGAGCGACGTTCACCAGGTTATTCCGAGGACGAGGGGTCGATCATGGACCCTGCGAACAGAACAAATGCACCTGAATCTTCCACACATTCTGTGGGTAGGACATCGGAGCACAGTAGAATGAAAATTGTGGACAAACCTCCTCTTGACACTACAGGTTTCCCAGCGCTTGGGGTTCCTCAAGATGAAGAATTGACGATGGACTGGAGCAAAATGATGAGTCTTGCCGAAAAACAGTTGGCAGCGGGTGAAAAGCATGTGGGAGCTGAGGAAAACTCCGTGGTCTCGAGGATTAGTGCAATCAGTAGGGAGTTGTCCGAGAAGGCTTCTTTCTATACGAGTATCAGAGGGGATCAAAGTCATTCGCCACAGACGAATTTCAGGTCAAAGGCCGCATTCGTATCGAAATCAACTAACATTGAATCGTCGCCAACATCTTCAATCACCAACAGTAGTAGCACTCACGGGACAATGGAACATAGCGTTGTTCAAGAACTAAGAGAGTTGTCTGCATTGGAATCATCAAGCTTTGAGGAACAATCGCGCTTTTTGTTGACTTCGTCCCTATTTCGCATCATGCGGCATCTCATTCCTACTTTAAACAAACCCAAATGGGAAGCCGACGACGAGGAAGAGGAAAGAGCATTTGATGAAGTATCTGCGGATGAGAAAATAGCGAAGGCCATGTCRTTGGCCAGAAAAAGAGCAGTTGGCCCGCAGGGAGAAACGTTTTATGATGGAGCTGCACTTCAGACCTTGCGAATTGTTGCATTTTTCATGGCTTTCGTTCTGTGGCCTTACGGTGTACCAAGAAGACCTTTCCAACTGCGACCCTTGAAAACGAAAAAGATGACTATAGAGAGCAAGCCAGTTGTCTCCCTGTTGCAACTCGTCTGCGAAAACGATGCATAATCTTTTAGCTAGTTCAATACGTGTAATCACAAATTTGAAGAAATWATTCAAACTTCATGGAAAAACTTTCAATACATCTAGGCAATAGATTGAGATACACTGTAATACCATTGAATATATCAAGAAGTATAGGAAGCCATTATACCAAGCACATTAGAAACTAAAAAGTCTGAAGTTGCAGAAAAAGCAGGATAAAGAATCCTCTAGATGATGTCTAGCGTCCCCCAACGAAGATGTGCATATATTTGCACATTAAAAGTTGTTCCATTTGATAGTTTGTATAAATCTACAATATAAGTAGTGAGCGCGTAGGAAAAGTTCCTAGTCGTTGCAATAGATACGGAAATACTCCACTAGAGCAAGAGTTTTTTAGCGGCGATAACCACCCCTGCCGCCGCCAAATCGACCACCCCCATAGCCGCCTCCGCCACGACCTCGTCCGTAACCACCGCCGCCGCCACTCATGTAGCCACGGCCCCTGCCACCGCCTCCACGACCTCGACCTCGACCGTAACCGCCTCGGTATCCTCCTCGGCCTCCAAAACGAGGCCTTCCCATTGCTGCCAACTCCGGGGGAATCTCTTGTTCTGCCTTGGTCAAGACTTCCACTAGGCCTGTCGCACACTTCCTGTCTTTGCCAGTGAAAAATGTATGCGCAATTCCCTTCGCTCCGGCACGTCCDGTACGTCCAATTCGATGGACATAATCCTCAACCCCATTAACACCAGCAGGCATGTCATAGTTCACAACAACCCCGACGTCTTTCACGTCAAGCCCTGAAAAAAATCATAAAAAATGGAACAGGGTGAAAGGTTTGCGTGAGAAACACCAAATATCAAAGTTTCGAAAATTTCCACCAGTGATTCTTAACCTACCTCGCGCAGCCACATCGGTGGCAATCAGCATTCGCAGTGTTCCGCTCTTGAACGCATTCATGACCTTTGAACGCTCCCATTGCGGTCTATCTCCGTGCAAGCAATCTACGGCAAAACCATCGTCCCACAACTTGTTGGCAAGATCGTTGCAGCTAATCTTTTTCGCAACAAATACAATCACCTTCGCGTGGGCCTTTCCACCGTTCGCAACTCGTGCCTTGTCGTCGTTTCCACCAGCCTCGGCGGTGAGTTCCTTTAGGATGGACTCCAGCTTGTCGATCTTCTCCTCTTCCGAAATCATGTGAATGGTCTGCTTGATGTCCTTGTTGGCAACCAAGGCGTTGACTTCGCCAACGTTGATCTGGACAGGGTCCTTCAAAAAGTCGTGGGCCAGGCGTTGGATTTCTTTCGGCCAGGTTGCCGAAAAGAGCAGCGTTTGACGAGTCGCGGCATTTGTTTTTTCGACAATGGAACGAATTTGCGGTTCGAAACCCTGATTTTTTAAAAGAAGAGAGACGAACGGATGAGTTTCAAGATGGGTTTGAGGACAAGGATAACCAGCAAAAATCACACGTTCCAATTGCAAATAAAACCATGATACAGCAAACAAAAACGAACCAAGTGGACGCAGAAGACAAATAGTCGACAACCACACGCACCATATCCAACATGCGATCGGCCTCGTCCAGAACAAGGTATTTAATGCCCGACAGATCGCATTTCTTCATTTCGATCAGGTCGTTCAATCGGCCGGGACAAGCAATAATGCACTCGACACCGCGCTGCAGGGCCTGGATCTGGGGGTACTTGGATGATCCTCCGTAGCAACAGACGGATCGAACGCCGAGGGGATTTCCGAACTTTCGGGATTCCTCCGAAATCTGAACACACAATTCTCGTGTTGGTGCCAGGACCAGCAGAATGGGCTTGGTATATCCTCCCGATCTACCTGTTCTGTTCTTCTCGTAGTCGTGAAATACCGGAAGCAAGAACCCACATGTTTTACCGGATCCCGTTTTGGCAATCGAGATCAGATCCTTTCCTTCTATCGCGAGTGGCCAGGCCTGTGCCTGGATGGCAGAGGGTCGGGTAAAGCCGGCCGCAGAGAGTGTCCTCTGGATGCGGTCCGAAAACGGGGCGTCGGAGAATTCAATGAACGGGTTTGCAAACTTCGATTCACTCGCGTATTTTCCGTGACCTTTGAGTGTAATGGTTTGCTCTTTCCTCCATTCTTCAGGGGTAAGATTCTTTTCAGCGGCTGCTTTGGCTTTCTTCTCCTCAGCCTCGTCCATGGATCGAGTTCTTCGGCGTTTGGAGTCCGGGCCGTCGTCCTTCTTTTCGTCGGTCAGGTCTTTGGAGTAGGAACGCATTCGCTTGATGTCCTTCTTGTGTTCATCGGACTCAAGTTTGTCAGCTTCGTTTTTTTTGCGCTTACCACCACTCGGAGTGCTGTTCTTGTACTGCTTCTTCATTTCATCGTAGGAAATCCCCCGCTTTTCGGCCTCCTTCTTGAGGGCAGCCTTGCGCTCCTTTTTGTCCATCTGATCAAAGCCTTGAAATACTTCTACACTCATCTTGCTGGATTTCGCTGCTGATACTGTAATGGCTAGGTTGCTTCCTTGTTTATTAGGTGTTTGCTATTCCAAGCCCGCAATTACTTCAATGAAATCGTCAAATGCAGAATGAAAAGTGAACAGTCCGAAGCCGAGACGAGGATGATCAGGATATCGTAATTGTTCGAAGATGGATTTAGAATTGATTGGTACCTAACGAAAGCAGCCGTGCTACAAACATACGACGTGGTCTATCCCAATACCGAAATGCGTTATTGCAGTGGCAGTTGTACTGTAGCCCGAACCCTTGCTATCGTTTCCTTCAGAAACAATCGTGAACTCACAAAAAACTGGAAAAGCGAAAAACAAACAACACAATCATTGGATGCGCTTGTATGAGTAAAGGACGGTCGATACAAAGCTCATAACCCAGAGGCGAGGGGTGCGCGAATCTTTTGAAATTGGTCCGCGACCCGCGACCAATTACACGATTGACAAAAAACGAAGTACCCATAGTACCGTACGAATCGGTAGTACAAGTAGTACGAAGCCGATACGAAGTACGTACGGTCTACGGTCGTGCTGTACGTACGCAATCGTACTTCGTGACGTACGTACATAGTTCATATCGTAGAAAAGGTACAAGTAACACATTTTGTACTCCTAATGCCTTCTGTGCCATGAAAGCTTTTCTTGTCTTCTTCCCAGACCAAAGTAAAATAAATAGCTTTTCTTGTGTAATCCGCTTCGACACAGCGATACTAATCCCCAGAGAGTATCATCTGAGGTAGAACAGAGCTTGAAATCTGAAAGTGCAGGAAAAAGGCGAAGAAAAAATATACATGCTTAAAAATGAAACTTAAAAGCATTTTAAAAAGTTCTGAATACATCCGCTGCATTGTATCCGATGTCGTGGGTTCCATAAGTCGTGCRTCGTGGTAGTGTGTTGTTTTATGATTGGTTTGTCTGTTTGTTTGTTTGTTCGTTGTGCTTGCCTGGCGTATTTTTTATTCCACGTCGCTGGGGGAAATATCATCGCCGTCCTCGACTTCCTCGTCCGAGACGCTCCATTCCTCCTTGAGGCTGACCACAGGTTCGACGCCAACCTTGCTCCGGACTGGAACCCCAATMTCGTTGTACCTGACCATAGGGAGGGTGTAGGGCGGATTGTACTGAAAGACAACGTGCGGGACCACTGCTCCGTGGGCAACGTCGAGCTCGACGCCGTCCATCTCGAGCGCCTGCAGGAGGGTGTCCTTCTGCCGGGCCACCTCCCCGTCCGTTGCAAAGCCAGGAAATTTTCGAATCGCCAACAGAGCCGCAGGGATTTTGACGATCTCGACGTCATTGTCCTCGCCCTCCTTAGTGTTGGGTTGCGGGATGCGATCGTTCGTGTTAAGGTAAAAGCGCATCTCCCCGGTCGAGGTGGTAGTGACCGGGGTGGTCATTTCCATCACCTTGCCCTCGTCGTTTTCCCCAAAAACATACGAGGCCAGTGCGTTGAACGCCGATCCCGCGGCGATTCCGTCGAGTTCGGTCGTCATCACACCTGTAGAGGCCACCGAATAGGCGTCGTACTGTCGAATCTCGTAGAGATCGCTCTCTTCAACCACCGTGTAGGAGGGCTCCTCGAGTCCCTCCGGCTTTTCCAAGAAGACGTTGCGAGCTTCCTGCAGGACTTCCTCGCGCTGTTTTTCGAGGCGTGCTGGGATTTTGTTGATGGGGTCGGTCAGGTCCTCCTGTAGGTCTTCCAGGTTCTTCTGGATCTGGCTGGAAACCGCAGAAAAGAGGCGGTTTCCTATCGATTGAACGTCGGCGGGGTCGACGGGTGGGAGAAAGGGGAGCGGGGGTGTTCGTCGTGATGACGACGACGCAGAAGTGGAAGAGGTCGATATTTGTGGCAGAATGTCGTTTGCTAGCTGGCGAACGACGGCTCTCGTTCCTTCTTGAAGTTTCTTTTGCGCGGGCGTCAATAGCGGATCAATCTATTGTTGTGTTTTGTGATTGTCGTATTTTAAATTAAAAAGAATGGAAACAACATGAGTGAGAAAAACTCGAAGGAACGAAGAATGTACAGATTTTCATGACGGTTCGATGCCCTGCCAGCAGCAAACAAACACCCCTACACACAACCGACTGCATGCGCAGTTAGCAAAACACACGCACCTTTCGATTCGTGAGGGCATCCAACACGTCGTCCCGGATTTTGTCGTTCGAGGTGAGCAATTCTGACAGCAAGATTTGTCGATCGGCCAGGTTCGTGGAAGGATCCAAGAGGTCGTCCAGCTTGGCCTGCCAGGGCTTCTCGACAGAAACGGTGGTTCGTGGGGAGGCAGAGGTCCTTGCCGGATTGTTCGAGCCGTCGTCGTCAAGGTCGGACTCGAGCGAGTCCGCAAAGGACGAGAAATCGGTGGTGGTAGTCGTGGTGCTCTGCCCCAATGACGACGATGTCGAAATCATTAGGGTTCGTCGAAAGGCAGCGGTGTGCGAGCTCCCCGCTGGGAGGTAGGCTTCCGATCCCGATTGCAGAAGAACCGCTGCAAGGATCGCAACGGCGATATTTCGGGTGCGTACGCTGTGCATCATGTTTGGTGCAATTTCAATACTGGCACTTCTTCGTTTTTGTTTGCCGTAGCCTTGTTTTGTGTCTAACAGATCCTTTCGGTCAGTCTCTTGTTCGGTCGTTTYTTCTTATGGTGGTGCCAGTTTGTAGTGGTGGGAAGTCGACTTCGCAGACTCTGGAATTTTGTGCAACAGACAACTTCTTCTTTTTTCTTTTTACTTTCCAATGGTTGGTCCTAACGATGCTGGGTGCAACGACGACGATAATGGTAATGATGATTCATACAAGTTGAGGCAAAGAACACAAAGAACGAGGCATCCATCTTTTGTGATAGAGAAAGGAAGAAGAAGATCCATAGCTATGCGAATTGGATCGCGAGAGAATGAGGTTGAAGTCCAATCGAAACCAAACGGCCGTATTTTTTCGCGCACCCACGCGCCACATCCGGGTTTTCCTTGGAGGGGGGCGCAGAAAAACAGAATAACAAATACTTTTTCCAAAATGATGTTCTTCCGCGCCAGCTGTTTTTTTCTCGACTACCGAAGTACGAAACATAAATCCGAGCTTCAAAAGAAACATTGTAGCCCCCCTCAATTGAATCTATAGAAGGGTGGGTAATCCCCCCGAATGCTTTCTGATGCCGCGTCAAACGATAGAACTTTAAACACGAGTGAAATCAATACATACGACTGAGCAAGAGCACAACAATAGTACTTCGACTAACTAGTACCCCTAGCCTACGTTCAGCAGATACCATAGTACGAAGTACTTATTGACTTGTTGCCGTGAAAAAAGGAAATGCATAAGTAGTAATTTCTAGCTCATGATACTGTGCATAATGTCTTGCAGGTTCGATAACAATCACAACGAATTGACCCTGTCGATAGAACCAAAAAACTGCAACGAATTGCATCCCGAAGGAACGGTACAGCAGAATTCAAGGCCAGCATGTTGAATTCATTGTCTCCCCCTCCCGAATCGTTCTTTGTCTTTGTGGTCGGCCATTGCGAAGGTAAGTTTGAACTTCAATGGAGTGGCTTTGCCTCTTCGAAAACAACGTAGGGAGTTTATTAGCTGTTCGCCGCAAATGAATCCCTGATTTCGTGTTTCGGAATGGACTTTGTTTTTGTTCCCTATTCACAGAATGGCCCGAGGGCCGTGCAGAACAAGGCGACACAGCAATCTACACTGAATACCTCGATTTTGGCGTTCCAGCGGACCAGTGCATGTACCTGAAGGATAATGACTGCACGAGGAAAAATTGCCAGGACCAGCTGGACATCTTTTTGAGGAAGCACCGACCGGGGGGGGCGGAAGAACCAAAAGACCATCTTCGCAACAGCAAGGGCGATGGGCGAGACAGAGACGTCGAAACAGAAAGACAGAAGGCCCCCGACACCTTGGTTTTTTATTACGGAGGACATGGATCTGCCCACGGATTTGCAACGATTGGGGGAACCTGGCCATACGAACAGGTAGCGAAGACGATTCAAGAATGCTTTCACGGAGACCGGGTCTTGTTCCTGATCGATTGCTGCGCTTCTGGAAATCTCTGGAGGCACATTCCGACGGCATCAGGATCCGATGGCGGACGGGATACAGCCCGCAATTCTACTGTCAGCAAATCCTTCCACAAGACGAAGGAATATGCTCTTTTTGCGACCAGCCAGCCCTACATCGCCGCCACTGCGGACGGAGAGGAATGGATTCTGACGAATTCGTGGATTCAATTGATGCGGGACCGCCCGACTATGAACAACGGCAGCGAACAAAACACCGATGTCTCTCTGGAACGAATGATATCGATCCTGGCCGATCGCAACGTGTTCGAAACCGGTGATTTGCTGTATGCGTACCTATCCGGACGGATGCCATCGTCATTAGGGAAAAATCGAGACGATAGCATCGACGAGAAGAGCTTGGCCGATTGGAGCTGGATGCCGGCGAAGTCTCGGTGGAGTCCAAAACCTCATGGCATTGTCATGGATGAAAGTGATAAGGAAAAAACACCACCTTCGACGGCATTGCCATCAACACCGCTGGCATGGCTGCCTTCTTCCGAGTCGTTGGCTCTAGTTGCTTCCGACGACTTGTGCTGTCCGATTCCGAAAGAAGCCGCGATGCTGCCCCTTTACGATTGTCGAGTGGGCGATCCCGTTGCATACAAGCATCCCGGTGGCTATCCGAGGTCGGTAAAAAAACAACAACAGACTCTCCCCTTCTATGTACCACCCCTGTGGTTGCATGGTAGGATTGTCTCTATCTTCGAAACAGAAACAAASCGAGAAGTAGACGCTACAGAACGCAGCGATGTATACTTCCGCATTCGTGTGTGGTATCCGTCCCAACAAGAGTCGTGGGATGTAGAGGTACCCCATAATAGTCATCGGTTGATTAATCAGTTTTTTGTTGTACAAAACTGGATGTTGCCGAGGGCATTTTGCAAAACGCAGGTGGTAATGGCACAGAAGTACCGACAATATCTCGATTGTTCCATGGCCACCAATACACCGGTTTGGGTACGAGCAACTTGTGAATCGTCAGTAGGTGGTGACAATGTCGACAATATTCGCGTTGGACGAGTTATTGATTGGAAAGATTTCAACTGGAAGAACATTTTATACTTTCACAAATATTCAGATTCGGGGAAASTGATTTTCCCGGGAAAGACAAGATACGACGACTACTACTGGGACGAGCTTCCTCTTTCCATCAAGGCCGCCGCCCTGGCCTTGGGGTATACGAAAACCCATTGGGACGAGGACATTGAGATTCCGGCGGATGGCATGGATTGGGGAGAACTCAGCGAAGCCCAAAAAGGTGCAGCCGGAGTACTAGGTTACGTTCGACAGAAACCAGTGGCGGGCGGTGGTTCTTTGAGTGGCTCGAATGGCGATGAGGGAGTATCCTTTTCTCAAAGGCTATGTGAAATCAGCAAGAGCGCCGGACCACACGTTCCAGTAGAATGGAATGATAATCACCAGTCTTCTTTGGTGCCTCTGCAACAAATCATCTTTGCCGGAACGAACAGAATTCCCATCGATGATCTCGTGTCGGAGAGTGCCATTAAGTTGGCGACAAAGAATTCGAATTATTCTTTGACAGCGACGGATGGTCCTTCGAACGAAAACGACGAATTGCACGAGTTGCAGATGCTCAGCCTCTTAGAAGCTTTAACATCTAGTGGAAAAGCGATCGGGGACGCCGAGTCTTTTCTGGGYACCAAAGAGCTGAGTGCGTTCTGGCCTGAATGTGAGAAGTTTTTTGATGCCGAGCCGATCGATGTTGCGTTCGACAAAGACATCATTGGGGCGTCCTTGGATCTATTGGCAACTCATTTCGACTATATGTTTCCCGGAGTTTATTGTCCGATCATCTATGAGGACGGCGTGAGGCATCTCGTCCCCTTGAGTCATATTTACCGAAGAGGCTGCCAGCCGCAACTGCACGGGGACGAGGACGAGGACGAAGACGAGAAGTCCCCCGTAGACATGGAAGACGGATCGTCCACAAAAKAAACGTCCACAGTCTTAGTTCCGACAAAGGATGCCATGGACGAAACAAAAAGGAAGCTCCGTGATGTTGTTGTTGAGGTATCTTCCTTTGGTGAACAATTTTCGGAAGTCGCATCCAAACTCGAGGATGCCTCTGGGTCGCTCCGGGTTTTGATCGACCAATCCTCAGAGAGACAAGCACCGGACCGGCCCCTTGCAACCGCAACCGCGGCCGCTCCCGATATGGCTGCGGATGCCTCGCAGAACGTCCCGCGCGAGCTTTCTGCTGCCAGCAGGTCCTACGTGGACGAGTACTGGGGCGATCTCCCCGAGCACGTCCGGAGGGCGGCTCTGCGTGTCGGATACACCGGGGAACTCTGGGACTCGGACGGGAGCATACCGCTTGATAGTGTGCAGTGGAACGATCTGAGTGGGGACCAGAGAGAGGCACTGGTAACCATCGGCTACAACGAGGCCAAATGGAATGCCGAGGACGATTCCGAATCGGAGGAGGACGACGACTCTWGTTCATCGTCTTCTTGTTCATCGGAAGACTATTAATGGCARTTGATGGGTGGATTGGGTAGACCTGGAGAAGAATTGGAACCTTTTCTTTCATCACAACATGCTTTTTGAGCAAGAAAACAGGGTATTAGAACCTTGCGCTTGGTTTTTCCTTTTCGAAAATAGATTTCCCTCCACTGAACTCGTCCTCTGCGAAGCTGGACACCAGGAACAGAACACCAGGAATGTCAATGGTATTGATCCGTTGTAACGCCATGACAAATTGCACACCACTGTTGTCATAATTACAGTAAAATAGAATGTATTATAACACCCAAGTAAAAACATTAAAAGTAAAAAATACTAGAAATAAGAAATAGTAKTAGTAGTACGGATGAGGAACTCATAGATAGGTTATGAGCGTTCTCCATTTATTGCTCGCAGAAGCTAGAGCGATGGATTCATTAGGTTATGAGCAGTACGTGAAGTACAGTTCGGTACGGTACGGGATGAACGCTTAATAATTACCGTACAGTATCGTTKAGCGAACAGAGTCGAATGAGTCGTATGATGAATCAATCGAGTCGTCGAACCATGGTAGTACAGTACCTGGTAGTTGTGTTTTACCATTCGAGTTCGTACCGCGGAGCTAGTACGGTAGTACGGTAATAGTACTCGTACTCGTACTTACCTGTCCGCTCGTCCCATCATATCAGTGGCAAGCAAATGAATGAATAGCGAACAGGCAATCCTGCTGCTCTGCCTCACGAACAATTGAAAAACGATCGAAGAGATCAAAACCAGCACGAGTAGTTCCTTGGATCTAGAAAAAGGGTACCATTGCGCCGCCCGTATCGTCCTTGCATCCCACGGACAYACCTAAAATCCCGCCCAACTCGGACCGAATCGGGTGCGAAACAAGAGCTAGCGAGCGAGCTACCCAACGATGTGGAAGATCCAGAGTGCCGCCCTGCAGCGGACGGGTGGAAAGGCCGTTGCCAGCCTGGCACGGAGAGCGCTGCTGCCGGCCATGGCACCGRCGGTCCCGGAAGCGAGCGGGGGGTCTTCYTCGTCCGCTGACGCCCCGCAACCCCCGGCTACCGGTATGCACGGAGCAATCCGCTGCTATAGCCAGACGTCCTTTGCGCTCCAGGAACAGAGCGAGACCGCGGCAAAGGGCAGCAGCACGCTGACCCTGCCGCCGAACCTGATGTTTGATTTCAAGTCCTCGTTTGCGCCCCAGCGAATGGCCGCGGCGGCGGCAGCCCCCGAACTGCTGGAAGAGGAGGACAGCGACAACGCCGGCGACGACAGCGTCGAAGCCGTCGACGGAGAGGAGGAAAGCGACGACACTGATTCCGACGAGTTCGACGGCGAGGACGAGGATTCCCCCCTCGTCTTTTGCCCCGACTCGTTCCAGGCCTCCGGAAAGTTCCCCGTGAAGCCCCTCCCGGAGCGCCTGCAGGTCTCCGTCCGCGACGGGACGTCCCCCTCGCCCGGGGAGGTCGGGACCATCTGGCTCGATCCCACCGTCTTTGGCGTGGAGGAGATCCGGATCGACCTGATCGCGCAGAACGTCAACTACATCCGCAACAAGATCCGGGGCTTCCGCAAGGCCAAATCCAAGACCGTCTCGGAGGTCTCGGGGAGCGGCCGGAAGGTCCGCAACCAGAAGGGGGGAGGCATCGCCCGGGCGGGGCACTCCCGGCCGGCCCACTGGCGCGGGGGCGCCAAGGCCCACGGGCCGAAGAACACCAAGAACTACGGGAACACCAAGCTCAACAAGCGCGTCAAGACGCTGGCGATGCGGTCGGTCCTCACCCAGAAACTCATGGAGGGGAACCTGGTGGTCGTCGACCACCTCAGGCTGGAATCGCACAAGACCCGCCCGTGGGCCAGGGTCCTCGAGACGGAGTTTAAGGTCGGGAAGGCCCTGAGGGCCACCCGGCTCCGGAGCAACCCCCATCTCTCGCAGACGACGTCGGCGCTGATCCTGGACCACTACCTCGAGCCGGAGGAGGGCGGCGACGAGAGCGAGGACTATCACGCCTCGTACCAGGGGGTTCCCATCAACCTGTGGGTCGCCTCGTCGAACATTCCCCGCATCACGGTGCAGAACCACCGGTTCCTGAACGTGTACGATCTCCTCAAGAACGAAAAGCTGATCCTTACCCTGTCGGCCCTGAAAGAAATCGAAGAAAAATGGGGCGAGAAATAAACAACAAAACGACTCGTAATTTGAAAAACAAAMCAAAACCAAAAATTACGAAACCAAATAGCTAGCCAAAAGTGTTGCTGTATGTTAGAACGCTGTAGTTGGTATGRTTGTAGGATTCGCCGTCTTTCGGACGCTGTTGTTGTGAAACTAGGACATTTGTCTCGTCGATTGCTACAAATGTGGAATGGYAGGCACTAAGACGGACGCGCTGGTGCTTTTTCGATCAAACCGTGCCCGACCCACTGGGATCCTTGCTCGGCCCAAGCCAACCTGCTCGGCGGCCCCGATCGAGCTCGCGTGCGGTGCCAACCCAATCCGGGTGGATTCGCTTGGTGTTTCACGAAATCATTTCGTTCCCTCGCTGTTGATGGCTTCGTTCGCCCGGACCACTCTCCTGGGGAGATACCCCGCCTTTTGGCTCTCGGACAGCTTTGCCTGGTACAGGGCCTGCCGGGCCTCCAGCAGGTTCGCCATGGCCATGGAAATGCCCCCTTCTACCACGTGTTGCCTCGCCTCGAGGGATTCCAGGTCTTCCTGGACCCGCGCAATCGCAACGTTGGTAGAGTGCCGCTCGCGGAGGCAATCCTGAAAGGTGGCAATACCTTTGGCATTCCCCCCGGCCGCTTCGGGAGTCTTTGCCCGCCCGGCCCGCGTTGCCTCCGGGGTTTGTTTGGGAAAGGAATAGAAATTCTCGTCCATGCTCTGCAGCTTGCTGGTGACCTGTTCCAGCAGGTGTCCCTGCTTGGAAACAAAGTGTTTCCAATAGGAAATGTCCATGACGGTTTGGGCTTCCGCCTTGCGTTTTTTCAGGTCTTGCTTGGTCAGGCTTCGTTCGGTCTTTTTTGCATTCTTGTGGTCCTCGGTGCGGATGTTGGCCGCGTCGTTGTGGCTATCCGATCGTATTTGTTGCTGTTGCTGCTGCTGCTGCTGTTGTTGCTGCTGGAGCTGCGAGGACTTTCTTTCCAATTTTTCTTTCAGGGCCATCAACTCGTTTTGGAGCTGGAGTTTGCGCTCGGCCAGGGACTGGCTAGGACGAGGACCTCCCTCTTCCGCTTTCTGTCCGGTTTGGCCMGATGCGTTTTCCTGGGATTCATTGCTGCTGCCGCTGCTGTCCTCGCCGGGGCTCGCTTCGGGTGCTTCTTCTCCGCGGTGCAGAGCGTCGATCGCGTCGTTTCCCCCGAGGATTTCTACGAGCCGCTCGCGGTTGGCCAGGCCCCCCATGTAGGACCACGACGACGAGGAAGAGGAAGATCCCTGAGACTCGTTGTCCCTATCGTTGCTGTTGTCAACGCCGTGCCCAGCGTGGTTCCTTCCAGAGCGGGAGAAGGGGTGGCGGACGAGCCTCGGGGGACCCAGCCGAGAAATCCCCGAAATGACGAGGGGGGTGGCGAGGGCCGAGACCGGTGCGAGGGGATTGCCGGCGTCGGTGTTGTTGGCGTTGGGGTTGGCGTTGTTGCTGCTGTTGCTGTTCCACCCGGTCCACCTGCTCCGGTTCCAGGACGTCGGCCCGGGACCTCGCCGGGCCCGGAGCTCCTGCTGGAGTTTCTGCTGCTTCTGTTGTTGTTGTTGTTGTTGTTGTTGTTGTTGCTGCTGCATCCGAATGGCGCGGTCACGGTTTTTCCGGGCGCCCTCGAGCCTGGAACGGGCCCGGTCGAGGGCCGCCCGGGCTTCCCGCGCGGAGTTGCTGCTGCTGCTGCTGCTGGGAGCGGGGGTCCCCCCCACCTCCGCCGCGGATGCTTCCTGGGCTTTCTCTGCTCGGGTATCTGGGAGGCTAGAGATGGGTTTGGATCCGGGAAATTCCGGCGGGGTTCCTTTCTGCTGCTGCTGCTCTTTTGGATGCTGCTGCTCTTTTGGATGCTGCTGCTGCTGCTGCTCTTGCTGCCTGCGTTGCTCTCGCAGGCGCTGTTCCGCTTCGTTCTTCTTTCTGCGGGCCCGCTCCAGCCTGGCACGGATTTCCTCGAGGGCCGCCGAAGCGGGAGGCCCCCCCGCGGCGGGGCTTCCGGTATCGGTCTTTCCGGCCCTTGYCGGAACGGCYCCCCGTTGGGCCACCCCGCTGCTGTTGCTGCCCTCCGCCATGGCGCGTGCTTCGGCCGCTCTTGGTTACAGTACGGTACTATGCGTTCGTCCAGCGTCTTTTGTGTGGGTGTCCGCTAGCACCGATGCTCGCTTTGCCGGGAACGACCACACAACATCACGAGAACGAACTTCTTTGCGTGGGGAGTTCTCTTTTGTTTCTTTGCTTGGTTTGGCTTTCTTGGAAACGAATTTCGCAAAAACAGAGGAATGAGAGATGCAAACGCAATTTTGTGACTCGACACTGCGCAGCTTTTTGATCTATCAGTACAAGTACCTGGTACCGTACAGGGCTGCCGGCATTGATTGATGGACTAAAAGAGACCTTTGTGAAGGATTGAGAGTGTTGTGGTCTGGTCTCTACTGTATGTCTACGCAGCCACAAACCCTCCAGTCGGCAACACAAAGAACTCAAAACTCAAAAAAGTCCGTTTTCGGTTTTCTTGCTCTTACTGCCCAAAAATGGACTACAATAGGCCTTTTTTTAATAAAGACTTTTCTTATCTTAGAAACTCCTCTTCACTCGCAGTCTTTATCGTCACGTACGTACGGTACGGTACTTTYAGGTGGTACTCGTGCTTCTCGTCTCTCCTCTCCTCTCTCAAGAAAACAATGACCGTGGGCCACASCAAAAWT